GTATGTAGTAGTGTGTAGAGCAGTCTACTGATTTAGAAAATGTCCACATCAAACTTGTTATGTACAAGAATTTGTTTACAACTGATATGTAATTCGTAGCTTGGAGGTTGTGAACATTTCGTAACGATCGTGTCTCTAAAGTCAGAAACGTGGTATCCGATCTTCAAACTTTCAAATCTATCATTAGAACTGGACTTCTCCTATTTTTTTTCTCTCCTTACTTCTCATGTCTCCTTATGCCAATGAATAATGGATGAATCGAGACGTGATTGAATTAGAAAGTTTGCACTAGTTTTGCCGATTGGACTTCAATCATCGATCGTACCTTCCTGCACTGGACTTGCAACTTTGCGGAAATACTGGAATCTGAGATCTTGCGAATTTCACGTGATATGTCTTCTTTACGATTACGTCAATTATTATGCAGGAAATTGAAAAGTGAATGAAACTTCGGAAAATTCACACGCAAAAGTTAATTTCGTCATGCGTGTCGTAAATGAAAAAATTACAATCGAGAATGCCAGAAACTTGCGATCACTGTACATCATGTTAAACTGCCACAAGATTATCGAATAAAAAAAAAAAAAAAAAGAAGAAGAAGAAAAAAACAGATTTTTATTCCGAAAGATGAACGTTTATACGTAAATGGAGATCATAAAAAACGTCGAACAAAATGAAGAATCGAAGAATCGCGTGTCACGTATTTACTGTCGAATTAATAATGCTTCTTTAGCCCGCTCGTACGATAAATAATAAATTGTACGTGTCTACCACATGCTTGCAATTTAATCACCTAAATTATAATACAATTTAATCACCTAAAGGTAACTAGAGCCGCGGCAAATTCGCATTTAACTACAGCCATTGCATTCTTTTCTCTCTTCGATCACCAACAATGAAAGGGAAACGTGTAGAATTCGATGGATTTGTGAATTACAAGACGTACACATGCAAGTTCGAAAAGCAACCCAGCAGCACCTTTTTACCCCAGGAAATGAGGAGCACCATGCACATTAATTGCAATGCAACACGAGTAGACAGATTAGCGCATGTTAGGCATTTTAGTACAGATGGTGATGTTAATCCCAATTTATGATTGCCATAAAAGCCGTATCCGCGAATTTATGCTTTCCGCGATATCAGTTTATTGTTTTACAAGAGCGTTCGAAATTGAGCGAACGATAACTTCCACTAAACGACGTGGATAGCGATGGCGTGTGTCACATTGGAATTAACATTGTGGTGTTTAATTCTTGCACGAAAAACGATCTCGGATCCTTTCTTTATTTCTTTCCTCCTTTTTCGGTTATGTAAGAAAGAACACATGGAATTTCGAATTTCATTAACAAAACAAGCGTGATTACGCAGAAGAAAAGAAACGAATTTTTACATACTTTGAACTTTCACAGGCACAGTTGTAATATAAAATTTTCTATTGTCATTTCTTTACACTTGTTCTCCGTAAAAGAATTATAATGCTTATGGTTTTCTTTTTT